CGTGTCAGATTGTTGGTAATAATTCTGTTTGTTTCCCTTGGCTAGAGGTTATGCACTCGTAGTCGGGGAACGCTTGTAGAGGTTAGTGTGGTGATCTTCAACCCATGGGTCAATGCCCGCCAGTGTGCCGCAAAACAAAACAAAACAAAAAAATGTGGGATGCCGCAAATTTCTGCCCAATCTTCTTCTTCTTTTCTTCTTTCCTCTACTCCTGGAATGCGTCACAGCGTCAGGGCATGATACGGGCTCTGGAACGTGTCCTTCTGTTTGCTTCGTCTAAAATACTTTTAAGTGTTCTGATATTTATGTGGTCTATGTTCTTTGTGGTCGACCTCCGACTCTGTTATCTGTACAACATGTCTCTCTGTGTTGTTCTGTCTGATACCAATCTTGTTACACGGTCAAATCATTTGGTTTACTGTCTACCTAAAAAGTTCAGTATTGATTCTGTACCGACTCTCCTACTAATATCATCGTTTCTAAGTCGATCCTTCCTCGTTACACATAGCATAGTACGCAAACATTTCATTTCTGTCGTGACTTTTTCCCTTCTATCTTCTGAAGACAGTGTCCATGTTTGATATTAATACCATAGCGTTGGTAAGAATATTGTGTTGAACAGTGTTCTTTTAGTGTTCGTAATCATATGTCTGCATTTCAAAACTGGTGCCATTTGGCCTAAAGCTTATCTGGTTTTATTGCATCTTTGTTGGCTTTTCGTTTATTACCTCTTCTGTCTTCTGAAAACAAAACGATAAGTGGATGTCATGCCTTTATTCTGGTATGAGCCATAATCTGGTATGAACCATAGACAGGACTGGGGATTCGCGGTCTTCCCCAGTGTTCCATAAACTTTGCCGTTTTGCGGACCAAGGGTCTGAAGAGTTTGGCTTTCAGAAATGTTCAACTATCTGTAGTTGCTCTGGTGGGCTAGATTTTCTTTGACTGGCAACATCTGGGCAATCTGATATGACATTCACTACTGTTTACTCACAATTCACATAATCAATTCTTATATTATGCATGTTCTTGATACTGTGGACAGTCAGAATGACTAACAACGACTGCCTGGAAATGGGTAATGAAATGAGCAACCAACATAAAACTATAAGAAAGAGGCAGATGGTGTTCTTCGGTCATGTGATAAGAAGACAGAGATTGGAGAACATCGTAATGACTGGAAAGATCAATGGTAGAAGAGGCAGACGCAGACCAAGAAATACGATGTTAAATGGCTTGAAGACGAGGCATGGTACAATATCATCCGTGGACTGATTCAAAACACCCAGGACTGAGATCTATGGAGAAACATAAGCGCTTACTCCGCTGAGCATAGAACACGGTGTGATGATTCCAATATAACTTTGAACTTTTTTTTTATGTAAGGTAGTGATTTGTGTACTGGTACAATGTGTGTCGTCCCTGTGTCACCTGGGCCCTTACATGGAAGCAAAGAACTGTAACACTGCACCCTACCAGGCATGTGGTAGGAGGCGACTAATGGTAGGGTTGGGCTTGAGATTGGCTAACTCATCCTGTAAAAACAATAGCTACAAACACCAACCAACCATGTAAGAGTCAAAATAGAAACATGAAAAACCCAGCCAACTAAGATCAGGGGAAGGTATTCTAATAGAAAAAGGGACAATGTCTTGACCGGCACTCGTAGAAAAAAAAAAAGTAGAAAGATAGAAGGAAACAAGCGTACTAAAAACATAGCTAAGTAGACACCCCCTGTAAAAGGTGTCTATATTGGCATGCCTATCGTACAGCTTGAAATACACAACAACGGAATACGGTCAAAGTTAATTTCAAACCACTGAAATGGCACCAAATGTTACATAAATTTATATTATCGAAGCATAGGTCGAATAACAAACACAGCAACAATTTAAAAACACAGCAGACCATTTTGCTTTGTCTAGAATACACAAAAATTTAAGAAAAAGATTTGATTGTTTATTTATTTATGTAGAAGAAAAAAAAAGAGCTAGAGGATGAGGTTAAAAAGCTAGGGAGGACATGAGAACTGCATGCGATAGCAAAGGATAGAATGACCTGGCGTGAGTTGGGTGAGGACCTATGCTCCATTGGGGGTTAGAAAGGCAGAAGAAGAAGACAATGTGTGCCTTTGCAATATTATTCAGGCAAAATGCTAGCAAACGTATGAGGACTCCTAAGCCGTCGTTTTGTGGTATCTTTATCGGTAGTGTATTCAAGTGATTGTAACAGACTATAATCTCCAGTAAAGAAGCAATATTACCTGATTTGCTCAATTTGGTAATCTGGTGCTACACGTGAAATGATCTGAAGTAAAAGCAAGAGGCCATCCTATGAGAAAATGGATTGATGACATTAAAGAGCTTCTACATCGACAGGAATGACAGTAGCCATTGCTGCCCATCAAGCAATAGATCGCAAACTGTTCCTCCCCACAACGCTTAACGGCAGACGTGGAAACTGATGATGATGATGATGATAATGGTAATCTGGCACCTAGATATCAGGGTTAAAAGTATTTCTCATGATAAACGCTCTTGAGTCCTGTGATGGACTTTTAGCTGTAATTAACTATATACAGAACTACACACATAGCTTATATACTAGCACTGAAGGTAAATTGTTTAGGAAGAAAAGTATGTCTCACGATATATGGATCCAGACAGTTATGCTGCCATTCTATTAAGTATTAGAGGAATGGACTTGATTACAAAACAAAACAAAAAAGAACAAATAAGAGTTTCCTTACATACGCAGTGAAAACTGCTTTAATAAATTAATAAATTGACTATCTAAGATTTACAGAGGGTTATTCAAAATAATGGATACACTTTCATTCATGTATAGTTAGTTCCTTAAATATGCTTTAATATGTTAATAGTAAACGTGTAAGAGAGGGGAAAGTCTAAAGTTTCGAATCCTACCTCTGGAGCTCAGTTGAATAACCAACCACTCGAGTGTGCATGCTCGTGCCACTCTGTTACACAAGAGATGCTTTTTCGTGTGTGGGATCAGTTCAGCTACCGCTTATAACCTTTATTGTAAGTTTGTAAAGAATACCTTCCTCTCTCTCTCTCTTTCTCTCTCTCTCTCTCTCTCTCTCTCTCTCTCTCTCTCTCTCTCTCTCTCTCTCTCTCTCTCTCTCTCTCTCTCTCTCTCTCTCTCTCTCTCTCTCTCTCTCTCTCTCTCTCTCTCTCATCCGCATATTAGTAATTTGTAATTTATATTCAAGGAAATACACATGAATGAAAGTGTGTTCATTATTTTTAATAGCTATGTCTATCAGTCTTGAAGATGAGTGCATCATTTTTAATAGCCCTGTCTATCAGTCTTGAAGATAGGTGCATCATTTTTAATAGCCCTGTATATCAGTCTTGAAGACGAGTGCATCATTTTTAATAGCCCTGTCTATCAGTCTTGAAGATGAATGCATCATTTTAATAGCCCTGTCTATCAGTCTTGAAGATAGGTGCATCATTTTTAATAGCCCTGTCTATCAGTCTTAAAGATAGGTGCATCATTTTTAATAGCCCTGTCTATCAGTCTTGAAGACGAGTGCATCATTTTTAATAGCCCTGTCTATCAGTCTTGAAGATGAGTGCATCATTTTTAATAGCCCTGTCTATCAGTTTTGAAGATAGGTGCATCATTTTAAATAGCCCTGTATATCAGTCTTGAAGACGAGTGCATCATTTTTAATAGCCCTGTATATCAGTCTTGAAGACGAGTGCATCATTTTTAATAGCCCTGTATATCAGTCTTGAAGATGAATGCATCATTTTAATAGCCCTGTCTATCAGTCTTGAAGATAGGTGCATCATTTTAATAGCCCTGTCTATCAGTCTTAAAGATAGGTGCATCGTTTTTAATAGCCCTGTCGATCAGTCTTGAAGACGAGTGCATCATTTTTAATAGCCCTGTCTATCAGTCTTGAAGATGAGTGCATCATTTTTAATAGCCCTGTCTATCAGTTTTGAAGATAGGTGCATCATTTTTAATAGCCCTGTATATCAGTCTTGAAGACGAGTGCATCATTTTTAATAGCCCTGTCTATCAGTCTTGAAGACGAGTGCATCATTTTTAATAGCCCTGTCTATCAGTCTTGAAGATGAGTGCATCATTTTTAATAGCCCTGTCTATCAGTTTTGAAGATAGGTGCATCATTTTTAATAGCCCTGTATATCAGTCTTGAAGACGAGTGCATCATTTTTAATAGCCCTGTATATCAGTCTTGAAGACGAGTGCATCATTTTTAATAGCCCTGTATATCAGTCTTGAAGATGGGTGCATCATTTTTAATAGCCCTGTATATCAGTCTTGAAGACGAATGCATCATTTTTAATAGCCCTGTATATCAGTCTTGAAGATGGGTGCATCATTTTTAATAGCCCTGTATATCAGTCTTGAAGACGAATGCATCATTTTTAATAGCCCTGTATATCAGTCTTGAAGATGGGTGCATCATTTTTAATAGCCCTGTCTATCAGTCTTGAAGACGAGTGCATTATTTTTAATAGCCCTGTCTATCAGTCTTGAAGACGAGTGCATCTCCTGATTATTGGCCTTGATTAGACTTGAAACTTTTCTTGTCTGTTGTGTAATAAGGGAATAGAATACAATGTTAAGTACAAAAACATAAAACACATATTTTTAGTAAAATCTTTTTTTTTTTTTTTTTTTTTTTTTGCGTTTCGTAATATGAGATCAGCACCGTAGATGGATCACTATAAAAGGAAAAGAGTATATTTCATGTTTATTTACCTAGAATCGTCCTGTTGCCTTTTGTATCAGTATTGTTATTCTTCAGCCTGTAACCCCCAAAAGAGCATAGGCCCTCAACCTACTCATGCTGGCTCATCCTTTGCTATATTGTATGTAGCGTATCCAATGTCTTCCTTATCTTTTCAGTGTAATAATGATGGAACTGGTTATACACAAAAAATGGGAATTAAACTCTTGTTACATTTTACATTTACAGTACAGTGTTGTCCAGTACAGTGTTAATAGCACTGAAGTCGAATGCTTGTAGATGGCGATGAGTAAATGTCATGATAAATCACACGCAGTCGCCCCGCAGCTGCTCTCAGTTGTTCTGTGTTATAATCGCGTAACAAATTACAATCTCGAATAAAGAAATGTGGCAGATTTTGATTTTCCAAAACCAAAATTAGATCTCTAAGAAGGTCTAAGAAACGTTCTGCAAGTTTTTCAGGAAGCCAAGATGCGTGTTCTGGCCAACGCATGCAGTCATGCAGCAGTATTGTCTTTATGTGATAGCAGTTGACAGGGATAAAAGCGTCTTTATCTGATTCACGAATCATTCTAAGAATCCTTTCACTGTCCTTTCGGCATACGGCTGTTGGCTTATAGTTTTCTAGCCAGGCTGGTCTCAGTAAATACTTTTCTGCATTGCTGAAAGATATTCTGAACAAGGAAGGGTCCAATGGGCTGGCGGAGCAGGGGAGAGCGACAGCATAGAATCCAGCATCCTTCACAGATTTGATATCGCTTTCTGACAACCAGCCTTTGACCTCAGTAGGCCACGTGGATGCACTGGTTGGCCAGTCATGCAGGAACATAAATGCTGGAACCAGTTCAAAGATGACGAGTTCAGTTGCCTTGAGTATTTTTATTACGGTGAATGGTTCTGAAAATATATAAATATTAATATTAACAAAAGTCTTAGGGATAAAACAAAGTAACAGTTATAAGGATTTTAACACTTTTTTAACACAATTTTTATTGAGTGTTAACATATTTAGACGGCTCTGTGGCTAAGTCTATGCAAACGCTTCGTAATGCCGGGATGCCGGGTTCGATCCCAGCTGTGGGTCATGCGCCTTGCGTTGGTTTCGACAATGGTATCAAGAAAGCCAACCGTCCAGCAGCAATGGCAAACTACTGGACGTAAATTTGCCTAGAAAAAACACACAACAGCCAGGGGCTGTTGGGGTTGGTTCTGTAACATCCTGTAAAGGAATCGCAACTAGCCTATTAACATATTTATCTTAGATTTTTATCATGGTATAGGGCGTCGCAGGTCGACCCAGCCTAAAATGGGTACCAGGATGGCTGGCCTGGGAAGTAAAGACGGCCGGCGTAATGCTGACAATATTACCCACCTAGTGCCGATGGTCTGAGAAAATATTGCCGCTCTTCCCATATACCCGATGCGCCTAAAGACGTGAGAAGGGATCTTTACTTCACTTACTTTTAATAACATATTTATGCTGCACTGATTAACGGGATAAAAACTTTAAAAAGTCCTTAAATGGTTACGATAGCCATGCTACTAAGAGGGACTGATCGCAAATATGCTGTCTCTGTTGTGACATGAATGCTGCATGTTGAATGTTGAATTAGGAATCGATATCACATCACTCGGGACACTCCCATAAGTGCTCAGTCTCCATCTTCAGCAGCAAGCGAAGAGTTCTGATTCCGATGGTGCCAGTATTGGATATCCATTTCATCTTTCCCGTGAGTGTTGAGCGTTGACAGATCCCCTGGTAACTCCTCGCAGCGCCATTCTCCTCAGACGGTAATGACTGATCTGCGCCTCCGCACTGTTCACCTGTCCCCCGAGGGCCATCACAATATTTAACTTCATACATCAGTTCACCACCAAGTGGTAAAGAGCCATCCAGTCTATCTGCCTGCTCATTTCCCAACACATCATCATGCCCTGGAGAAAATATCCAAACGATGCTAACTACCCGGGACCTCTGAAGTGATGATTGCGACTCTGCTTTAAAAATGCCTGTTTTCACCTTTTTTCAACATGCTCTGTGAGTCAGTTACAATTACGGCATGTGTGTGCAGCTGATTCTCAAGCCAGCGAAAGACAGCAGAGACTGCCTCCGCCTCTATTCTCAAACTAGATGTTGTGATATCATATGCAAGGCTTTGCTGCATTAAGCGACCTCCATTCGCCTTTGCTATGAAACCTCATGTGACATGAAAACCCAGCTAATGGAATTGGCAAAAGTAATTAACAACCCTAAAACCTGATTAACGATAATTCAAAGGAGCTGAAAAATCAAGAGTTCGTGTTACAAAATGTGTGCTGACCGGGAAACTAATAATGCATTAAAACCTCATTAGCATAAACTCGCTCAAGACGAACACTCCATTAACATGAAAATATTTTTTCCCAGTAAAAGTTTATAATTAATACATCTCAAAGCAATGTTTCTCCATCGTGAATTTGAAGAAAGAAGACAAAAACAATAGACTGCACAATTTATTGCCTGACATATTTTGCCCTATCTCGTCAGGTGCATTCTATAGTAACAACTGATTAAAATGACGCAAAAATATTACTTATTTACGGCACTAGGTGAGAAGAGCGGCTGGCCGAACGGTTAGACCGCTAGGCTCTCAAGCGGGAGACCCTGGTTCGAATCCTCGGTGAGGCTGAAGATTTTTTTCTGTCGGGGGCGAAATAAAAACCAAATGTCCAAATGTGAAAAGAAACAACAGAGAAAACCACGGGTGTATTGTTCTCAACGATACTAGATACCGTGGAAGCCAGATTTCTTAAGTAGGCTGTGACCAACAGTGAAAAAGACTAGAACATATTACATACTGGGTGGGATTAACAGACGTAATAATCACACATCACACGTTGCTTGGGACTGAACGAGTTAAAACGGATGTGCACGCAACACTCAGGCTTTGGAACAAGACAAAAGTCCACAGGTGGACAAACAACCAAAACTTTCCGCCGGAGTTTTCGGCCAGTGAATGCAAAGAAGAATACACAGAGATTAGAAGGAAAAAAAAAAGACAGAAAACAGGAAAAAAAAAACCATTAGATTTATCACAACACACAAAGACCGACGTTCTTCTGACTTATTTTTCATGATGATTACGTGTCGCAGAGAGCAGTTACATGTCGTTTTCTTGATTATCTTCTAGTTGCGAAGCTTGTATTATTGTCATATTTCGCTTCTGTGGTGTCACTTTCACCCATCCATCACTGTCTTTCTTGGTCAGCTCCTTTTCTTATAATCAGAGCAATGTTTCCCCTATGTGAATTTGAACAAAGAAGACACAAACAATAGACTGCACAATTTATTGCCTGGCATATTTCGCTGTATCTCGTCAGGTGCATACTACAGTAACAATTAATTAAAATGAAGCAAATAGCTGAATTCTAGAAACTGAAAACACAAATTCGAGTACATTTCAAACTGTTTCACCAAGGTAAGCGTAGGGAAACGACCATTTCTTTTTGCCTACATAGATCCGGTTTCCATCGGCCAATCGCGGAAGCTTCCGCGTATCAAAGTAATCTACGGTTGGCCGAACTGTAAATAATTTGAAATGCATCATCCCTGTTAATGATGTACCCGGAATTTAGAATATGGCACGCAATTGCTGATGATGGATTATTTCGACCAGTCACCTGATTCGTTGTTGTTGAGGTGTTAGTGTTCTGCATTGCTTTTACCACCCATAGTGGAATATGTTCAGCAACCCGTTGCTCCAGTCGTCGATCAGTTCTGCCCACATATGCAGCGTTACAGGTGCATTTAAATTGGTATATACAGTTAGATCCGGCGTACGTCGACACTGGTTCTTTTACTGGTGGCGTAGGAATCATGGTGGTTTTAAATCTCATATCAGGCATGGCTGCGTAAAAGGTTTGACCGACTGCTGTTTTGAGTCGGTCATATATACGTTGCACGACGTCGTCTCCCCGAAACGTTAGATGTATATAGGCTAGTTTTTTTTTTTTTTTGCACCGACATTTCTAAAGTAACTGGTTTAGGCGGCTGGCAATGGCACTTAATAAAGCCACCTGGATGTCCATATCCGATAGAACAAATCTTCCCAGCACGGTGGAATAATGTCCTCACTAGACCACGTTTGTATTGCAAAGGTGCAAAACTGTTGAAATGGATGTACTGGCCTGTCCAAGTGTCTTTACGATGAACTGACCTTTCAATAGTGCCATTATCTCTACGTCTCATTAAAATGTCTAAAAAGGCCAAAGTGTTGCTTTTTTCATGTTGTAGGGACACAGTGATGTATTTGTGCAATTGGTTCATTTTGGTGTGAAACGACGCTGTCTGTTGTTTGTTTGTGGCGATGATAAGTATGTCATCCACGTAACGTCGGTAAAATACTAAACTATCAATATCCAAAGACATCTGTTCCTCCAGGTTTGCCATAAAGATGTCCGCTAGAATAGGGCCTAGAGGGCTTCCCATGGCCACACCGTCAATCTGGCGGTAAGACTGCTTAAGAAAACTGAAATTGATGTTCGAAGTGCACAACAGTAAAAGTTCCTCAAGTTTTGAAATAGGTAAACCTACCTGCAGATTTTTATTTTCTATACGGTCACATATAATTTTCACGGTTTCTTCCAAGGGCACGTTTGTAAATAGTGATGCTACATCCATTGATGCCATGTATTTTTGATTTACATTGATTATGTCTAGTAATTCTGCCAGTTCAAATGAATATCTGAGTATTTTGGGCTCAAATGATTGTGGTACTGGTTTTAGTAATTCCGCTAGCCATTTAGCTAAATCATGTTGAGCAGAGTTTATCATCGACATGATAGGCCTAAGGGGCATACCAGGTTTGTGTACTTTTGGAAGACCATACAACTGCGGTATTAGTGAGCCACATGGTGTGAGCATCTTAGCGGTAGCTTCGCTGATGAATTTTCCTGCCAAGAGTGATTCGATTACTTTCTTCATTTTCGCTTCCATGTTATTAACGTTATTTACTTTGGAATCCAGCAGAAATTTTGATTGATCAGATAATATTTCTTCCATTTTGGTTTGATAGTTTGACTTGTCCATCAGAACTACACCATTTCCTTTGTCTGGTTTCAGTATTAATTATTGTTCGTTGGCTTTTAATGTTATCAGAGCAATAATATGCTCTTTAGATAATGGACACTTTTGCTTAGACTGGGATGTGCGGTACTGATGTTCCAAATCCACCAATCTAGCTTTTAACCAACCAACCGAATCAGTAGACGACGCGGTCAATGTCGACAGCTGATCAAAGAACATTTCAAATTGAGCTTGTGACTCAATGGGGTTGATTCGTTTAGGTTTTATGCAGAACTTTAATCCGTAAGCAAGAGCTTCAGTTTGTAGTTTACTGAGTGTAAACGAAGACAGATTGATCACATGTTTCTCAGGATTGTCAAGCACAGAAGTGGTAATCTTTTCCAAACTCAGTGACTTCTTTAAACATGTAGTTTCTTGAATTTTCACTTTACCCACTGTTTCAATACAAAACTTTGTGAACTTTAAATAACAATGCAGAGTCAGATCATTAGTAATGCCATGACGATCCACATTTTGGCCCCTAAGTGAACGTAGTTGAACAGATCTGGTTTAAACCAACTCCTGAATATATTAGCTAAATGTTCTGGTACTGGGTATTTTTACATTCAGTAGTTTTAAACTGCTGTGTGAAAAGCTGATACGGTGCTCGAATTTACGAACAAACATATGTCAAAATTGTGAAACTGCTCTCTTAACACTTAAGGCACATACCCAAGTATGTGCATGTCGAAATTGTTAAACTACGTTCTTAACCCTGTATTGCACACACCCAAGTCTGTGCATGCGGAAATTGTGAAACTGTGTTCTCAACCCTTAAAGCATATACAGTAAT